TTTTTTTGGGTTCTCGATTCTTTTTCTTTTTTCCTTTCCCCTCAAGAACTAAAATGAATGCAAAGGCCTTTCTTTAGTCTTTACTTACTAGCTGCAAACAGCTTCAACTGCTAATTTCTGAGTTGCACTTGGACACAAACCTCTGTTGAAACCCACTTTTCCTAGCTTTATTCTACACTCTTTTCTATTCAGACACGCCTGCACAAACACACATCAAACACCTCAATATAAATTATAATAATCTTACCACAACCTCTACACTTATTAACCAGAGCTACGGATCGATCTCTTCGGTTTCGGTTTTAGTCATCATAGTTTAATTCTTTCGAATGGGAGCTCCTTTCTCTAGGGCTGTCCTTTAATTTGGCTGTTTTCTTCGTTTGCCATTGTATATTTTTATTCATTTCTCGAGATGAAATAGCGATCTCTCATAGGCTATATCAGTTCATAATCTTCAAAACAAAAAGTTTTCTTGTCGTAAGAAGAGTGTCGACCACTTCAAAGTCACTTTTCGAAAAATAATCTCTAATGTGTTTCTTCAAAGGGTGTTGTTAAACCAATCTGATTTTTTTAAAATGCTTTTTACCAAACACGGTAGATTTTTTTTTTTATAAAGAACGCTCTTCAGCATCTAACATCACAACACACATCACTGACGAAATTAGTTAGTAATTATTCTAAAAGTGATTTTAGAAAGTATTTTTATTTGAAAAGCAATTTTTTCAAAAGCCATTTCAAACATATGAGATGAAACACTGCATAAGAGAAGGAAGCAAAAAAGTTACCTTTTCAACCAGGGAAGTAGACTCGGGATCATGACAGTCGCCTATGCTATAGGATCCACATGTTCCCTGGGGAGTTCCAAAGCTTGCAAATTTAATCGTCGCTATACGGGTGTTGTGGGGGCACTTCAAGTGGACGCTTGATTTGTTCATCCTGCGAATGTTTTCGACTTCGGACGACGACTCGATCAAGGGATGGCCTACTCCAAGATGGGCACATACAACTGTGATCTTACGTTTAGATAATCTGATTTTTGTTGGATCTCCACCCTTCTCCTCAAAAATCACCAAAATATTTCCAGTTGGCTTGAACCAAGATCTTGGAACATGGTACCTATATAAAGTTAGGCCAGACTTTAGCATTATTCCCTTCTCAAAACAAAATTCATATATATATATATATTTGTAAGAATGGGCATTTTTATGACCATCTTTGGGTTGGCTCTCCACATCCAGTTAAGCATTTGTCTGGTCGGAATTTTCCCCTGTAATCGCATTTCTGAACGCACGCATCATGAATAGAGCTTCTCCTTGGCCAATATCTTCCTATTTCTTCCCCATTCAACCATGCCAGGCCTTTACCCATATCAATCATATCCAGCCCAACAGGATCGTTACCAGATGGAGCATCCAGAATAACCTACAACATTGATTACCAACGAAATCAGTCTCCTTTCCACCAGATAACAGTAGATCTTTTTCTCTCGCAGCAAATGAATGATTATGTGTCAAATACTTACCTTGTACCAAGTCAGAGGTTGTTGCTTTGGGGGTTCGCTGGTTGATAACCACTTGACATTTTTTATCCCATCTGGCTTGTTAATACCGAGGTGCTCCCCTTTCAATCCAATCTAAGAAATACAGAAGTTAGAGAATGGATCTATATCGTGACCACTATGATAATGTTCGTTCCCGGAATCCCTTCAAAAAATTATCAGGCCCCTCTAATGTTTTCGGTTCTGAAATTGAGTTAGTCTCAATAAAACATTACATCACAAATACGGGTGGAATCCAAACCTAGGACCTTTTAGGAGAAGTTATGCATGGCTAATTATGAAAGTGAGTTGCATGTTAGCATAATATAATACATAATGTAAACCCCAAAAGAAGCTTCCATTCAGGAGGTTCTTGTTCTTCTAGTGTTTAGGAATGGAGAAGATGAGAGATAATAAGTTAGAAAAAATGAAATATTTTGACCAACATTGTAATGCATGTTCTTTCTCTGAGGCCAACATCATTATTAAAAGGAACTTTACGGACAAGAAGCAACAGTTCTTTTTGTATATATCTTCAAAGATATATAAACGGAAAGACACGTCCACATGCATCTAAGTTAAATTAAACGATTGATACCAATACTTTCCACAGATAAATATTGGTTATCTAAATATTTAGGAGAATATTTTGTTGACTGATGAGAGAGAGAAAGAGAGCTACCTTGTAGGACCAAGCATGAGAAGACAAGTCCAGTATACCATTGTTAAACCCCTCTATGGCAACTTTTGTAAGTCCCGATCCAACCCACTCATAAAACGGTCCTGCATTCTGCAATGTAGAAGAACAGTAAGATATCAAAAACAAATAGAAGTAACCCCAATCAAATGAGGTTGAGTCAATTGTTTCAGGGTTTCAGTGTGAACTTTTATGAAGATATATGTGTTATCAGTCATGATTCTGCAAGGCCTCATATATTACAAAAAAGGCAGCAATAGTTAATCCCCTCACGGTGATTGGTCAAGCCAGCTTTTAAAGGGTTTAGAGGGAATGGTTTTAAACTATGAACTACAGTGATCACCTACTCAGAATTTAACCTACAACCTACAAATATCTTTAGCCACCAAATGTAGTCGGATGCGTCCAAACTGACTAACACTCACAAATATGTAGAAAAAAAAAGAAAAGAGAAAAAAAAACAACAAAGGCTCCAATGGTGAGAATAGGAGACAAGATAGACAGACACCCCAAAGAGAGGCATGTTTAAACATAGCCATAGATCACATCTCCCCCATGAGCTTTTAAACAACAATACTTCAATTTTTCGATTGCTTCATCCACTTAAAATACAGTATGGTTTGTGGCAATGCGGATAACAGCAAAAGGAGCAACTCACTTGTAGACCAACGGTCATGCTTAGCAGAGCAATGTCATTTTTTCCCGCCTTGAGAGAAATTCCTTTCTTAAATCCGAACGTAATATCTGATCCGTTTCCACTTGCAGTAACTGTATAAGACAATTGAAATAAAATTAGTTGTTGCATCCGAAATGTTTTAGTGAGAAAGTTTAGAATGATTTATTGCATAATCTATTCTATACATGAAAAAATAACTCGGGGAGAAAGTCATTTCATATAATGATTGAATAAATAATTAACTTCATTGAAAACAAGAAAATCATTCATTAAAAATACGTGTTTCTATTATCTTTTTAATTAGTGGTCACATTTTAACTATTGAAAATTATAAACTTGTCACTCCAATAAATTACTTTTAATACTTTGGTTCCATACTATAAGAATAAAATATTCGTATAACCTACAAAAAACTATTATTTCATTTATAATAAGAAAAAAATGTTTACTGCTGATTATTTGTTTATAATCTGCAGAAGTTTTCTATATAAAGTAATCAATTAAATTACTTGCAAATCATAACCTAAGTTATCTATTTACAAAACAAAAGATTAACTTACACGCCATCCATGTACAGTAGGCCTGTAAATGGATGTGAAGCTAAATATATATGTGGTATTAAAGAATATCCTTCAATAGATAATTAAGCACCTTGCAGTTGCTTGTTGATAAAAGCATGAAGAGCATGGCCTTTTGATTCAACCGCAAGAACCGGTTGACTTCCCTTCTTTAGAAACTCTTCATTTTCATTCACAAAAATGCTGCCAGTAAGGTAAAATATCAGTCATTGAAAAGTAGACACAACCTCATTTTTTTCCAAACGAAATACAATTGTAAAAGACTGCAAATAACATGCATTAAGACTAAGATACAGAAAGGCTTATGTATATTAACGTATGAAAAAACTATATTCCTATTGGTAGCAATGAAACATTGACACAAAGGACTGATAAAAAATAATAATAAAATAATTAAAAAAAAAAAGAAAAGAAAAGAAAAGAAGAAAAGGCAATTACAAAATTTCCACATCAGAAGGAAACCAAAAGTATGGTCTGTCTTCCTTCAGTCCTCCAATATATAAAAGATAACAGCAAAGTTGATAAAACCCTGGAGAAATGTTTCGCTTAGATAGTGGTCTAAAACAATGTAAGGAATGATGATTAGTGACAAATTCTAAACTGAGTAAATCATTTGCTCTGTCCATTACCATCTTTATCCATTTTCATGTAGTAGCAAACCAATAAACCTAAGTCTACCAGTCTTCTGGATCGTTATATAGATATAATTTTAGTTACTTATTCAAAGACAAACCTTGTTGTATACCACAGGTAGTCTGTAGTATCTTTCGTGGTATTGAGGTGGTCAACAAGTCCATTTTGAACAAAGTCAGCATGATCCCAAATTCCAGCTTGCTCGGCGAATACTTCCCATTTTAGCGATTTCAAGTCTTTATTTGTTAAATCCGCTGATGGATGCAGAACTTCTGGAACCATTTCGACCCTAGAGGTTTGGGACCTAATCTGTTGAAAGTGTTATGTCTAAATAGCAGACTCAAATTCCATAGAATAGAATCAATCATATTTAGCGTATCCTTTTCTAAAGAACACACATAATATCTTTTCTGAGAGGACACATTTAAAAGGATCGTAGCTTTCCAAAAAAAATCATCAAAGATAACTATAAAATAGATGCAAACAAGATGGTGTTCGGATTCGAGCAATAATGGGTCAAGAGAAGCACGGAAGTATTATAAAATTAAGCAGGTTGAGGACCGATTATTCAGCTTTAGAGTTTAAAAATGGAAATTTAATCTGCTTCTGGAATGATGTTTGAGCTGCTGATTATACCTCAAAAAATATGCTTATGAGGCTCGATGCCATCCAAGAACTTAACTACCGTTAAGCATTTGGATAGCATCTAAGAGTTGGGACCTAAAATTTAAAACCCTAGTGGAGTGAGGTGGAAAAAATGGTAGCATTGTTCAAAAAGATTTCCGGAAAGCAAGCAACCAACATGGATGGCGAGCAAATCTAGGACTTGCTTTCATCAGGGTGGTTTTCTCCTAAATCACTATCCTTAAAAATGATACCTAGAGGAACATTGATTCTAACATACTTGACGAGAAACAAACACGTGCCTATAATAAGATGATAACATCCAAAACATGACATTAATATACATAAGATATGACTAAAACTGGATCAAGGTCATGATATACCAGAATAAAATACGGAAAAGCATCAGTATTTACCATTGCCGTGTTAAAGACAACATTCTTGCAGTCAGGCAGAATACTGACAGACCATGCAGGTAAATTATATGATACATTTCGGAATTGGACTGTCTTGTCATCTTTTTCATCTACGTTTGCAATAAAGGCAGCACAGGCTCCAGACGAGTCAGTGTAGACATCGGCCTACACTTTACCAAATAAAATAATCAATAGGTTTTTCCAAATAACATGAAAGAAAACATGCTCAATCAACTTTACTACCAAGGTTAGAGGAAGAGGAAGGTAAGATAATAAATTTTTTGGTTAAGTTACAAGGTTGGTCCCTAAACTTCTAATTTTGCGTCTTGTCCCATTAGATATATTAATCAATGACTAATTTAAACATTTAACAAAATACTGATTACAAAAAATGGAAGTAAGCACCAAGTAGCATGGAAGAACATTACCTCTAGAGAAGGACCTAACGAGGTATAAGTTGGCTCACTGTTAAGCACAACACTCTCAGTCAACTTTATAGCCCTATGAAGTTCCTTAAGGTGTCCCCATTTTGGTTGCCTGGGTAAGCCTATGGATTGTACAAGAAACAACGTAAAATCATGATGCACTGCCAGTAGGATTCGACAAATCAAATGCAGAAAAGACAGATTACCATATTCATCAATAGGTGCATCGTAGTCATAACTTGTGGTGATAAATGGCCCACCAGAGGTACGACCAAAATTTGTTCCACCATGATACTAAAGCAAAAGAATATTATTTTATAAGACATGGATAAATTACTTTAACAATAATAGTAAACGTACATAGTATAATAAATAAATAATATTAAAGAGCAATTCAATTACCATGTAGTAGTTTTGTACATTGCTGCTTTATAAATAAATAATATTGAAGAACAATTCAATTACCATGTAGTAGTTTTGTAGACTACCGCCTTTCTGGAAAAACCGAGCAACTGAGAAAGCAATATCTTCTGGAGGCCTGTGAGGATCCCTTGCCCCAAATGTTTTAAACCTGGAAAATGTGGAAACTGCTGATACCAAATAACTATATGACTAAAGCACAGAGCAGAAAGGCAGATCTGCAAATTTCTAATGTTTGACTTGGATGAGGGTAGATACAGAAAAAGACATTAAATAAAGTTAGTGAAACAAAATTTAAGAAGCTTCCGTATCAGATTTTATCTTAAAACAATTTCTAACCACCAAAATTTTTTTTTTTTATGAGAAAGCAAGCTTTTCATTCGTAAAACAAAAGCATATGAACAAGGGCATACAAAAAAACAGCCCGCAAGGAGGAACCCCACTAAAGAAAGGGTCTCCCGTCCAAAAGATAGCTAATGAGGAGACATTGAATCTAATGAGGTCCCAAACAGACTCCCGGTCTCTTTCCACTCCCCTAAAAATCCTATTATTTTTCTCAAGCCAAATCCCCACAAGATAGCTAAGATAAAAGCTTGCCACAAAAACTCCTTTTTTCCCGAAAGGGAGGAGCCAGAAGCACTTCCTCCAACATAGCCTTGCACTCCAAATTCAAATACCTCTGCTGAATCTACCAAAGTATAAAATTAAAAAAATGGGGGGGGGGGGTTATTTTTTAGCATCCCTCCCAAAGTTTACCTTCCTTCACTAAAGTGACAAAGGTATTGTTCATTTTAACGGTTAAATTATTCTAAAATTTTCAAACACTTAAATGTGAAAATTTCACAAATATATTTTATTATGCACCAAATAGAGTTATCACACATTTTTTTGTCGAGCTTACCTGAGAGGTAATTGGCACTCCAATCCCCACCCTACATGTTCATACTCAAAAAATAAAAAATAAAAAATAAAAGTTATCACTCATTAATGTGTTTCCTCTATTTTCATATATTCAGGCTGTATAAACATAATTATCCAAGGTGGAATGGTAAAAAAAATAAAGAACTCCATATAGAATGCGCAGTTACAAATAAATACAAACTATGACCAAGTGATAAAAATAATATTACCATCCAGGCCAATTCTCAGTCCAAAACTTGGGCTTGTTTGGAGAATTAGGTGTGAATTGGTCACAGTAGAATGAATTGCAAGTATTAATCTGAAAGGGAGAAGAACAGCTATTAATTATTATATAGGGCAATATCAATATGCTCAAATATTCAAATGTAGCTAGTTTAGAGTGTATGGATGGTGCAATCTCAAAATCAGGAAAATCATAACTGTAGGAAGGGAAAACTGCAGAAAAAGTAATGTTAGTTTGAATTCCTATAGTACTGCCCCTTCACACGAAGCTGTCACAGTATGCATGTGCTAAATTTCAGCCAGCAACAAACAAGAATTTTTTCCGTCATGAATAGTATAACTGGAATTCCATTGGGTTGTAACAACTGTAGCTTGGTAAGAAGTAAGCATATGAATGTTCAAAAAACCAATAATATGAAACATAATGTGCTAAACCAGAAATATTAAGGAATTACAAGATGACCACAAGTTAGGGAACTCATTATGGATGCTAGAGCTATTGATTTCAGCTTTGAAATGAGTAGAATAATCACTTACACTTAGAATAAAGTGTCAAGTCAACATCTCAATCCCTCGCATGTTATTAATTATGTATGCAACCAAGTTAGTAGTAGTATTTAAAGATTTGCTAGCTAGAAAAGAGCCTGTACCCCAATCACAATAAATTAAGAATTAAAATGAATGCTAAGTGCACTATTTAATAAATAAAAAATATATATACATTCTCTGAATTCACAAGCAGTGCTAGAAAATGATTGATAAAAAATCTTTAGATTGAAGTTTCAGTTTTGATCAACTACACAATTCAAAGGTCAACTTCTCAAAAGAATGTAATGGAAGCCAAAATAAAAGATGGGCCAAACCAAGAAAATAGGTTAAGTTACAAGTTTATTCCCTAAACTTTCAGAATTGTCTAATAGGTCCCCAAACTTCATAGTGTCTAACTGGTCTCCTTAAACTTTAAAGGTGTATAATTGGTTCATTAACTTTAAATGTGTATAATATGTTCATGAACTTCAAAAGTGCATGTCAGGTTCATGAACTTCAAAAGTGTATGCCAGGTTCATGAACCGTTTAGGGAATAAGATCTTATTAAACAACACAACATTTAATTGTATCCAATGTCCATGAATTTGAGAAATATCGAATAGGTTAAGGACCTATTAGACACAAATAATTGAAAGTTAAAGGACATATTAGGCACTGTTAAAGTTTATGACCTAAACTTGTAATTTAACCAACAAATCATGACCTAAACTTGTAAGTTATCCAACAAATCATTACCTAAAACTAAATTAACTCCTTTCAGATTTTTGGTTCTATCGCTCATGAATAACTAGCAAATAAGTAAATAAGTAAAAATAGAACAAATAAGTTGTAATTGAAAGTGATTCGCACCACAGGATCAGGAGCATCATATTGCTGACACATTATCCAAGGAACACCTATATTCTGAGAAACAGCCATTTGAGCTGCCCACATAGCATATGGCTTCCCTCCTTCTCCATAAACTCTTTCTATATCCCCATACTCATTTTCCACCTACATGAGAAACATAATACATTAAAAAATTTCAGCACTCAATGCCTTTTAGCTTGAGGATTTCTCACTCTCCTCCATTCTTGAAACATTTTTCATTTTAATAGTCTTCATTTTCAATCCGAGAGAAATTTATGAGGAACAGCACTCAGTCGCAGGCACTTTAAAGAAGGCCTGGAAAACGAACCAAAAGATCTCGTCAATAATAAATATAGTACTAGAACTACTATAACACTTGCCTGAGACAAGATGATGGGACCCCCTTGTGAAGCAAAAAGCTTCTCCTGTTTCATTAGGTTCACTATGTATGTAGTGAACTTCTGCATGTGATTCTGAACTCCGACATAGTCATAATAAGCCACATTGACATGAAAAAAGTTAAATAAAACTAGCTCAAACATAACGAAAGGAAAATACTCAACAGAGCTGTGATAAATTCAAATACTAATTAAAGTTCAAAACTGCCATTTTCATACCTTGAAAGATGCATTATCAGTGCGAAATACAGTATTAGGAATGTAATGCAGCCAAACAGGCACTCCACTGCAAATAAAAAGCTTGTCTAAATAATTCAGGCGATGGTTAAGCATAAGCTGTAAAGAAGAGTGCAGTAAACTCTGTGAATGCGATGCTCCAAAAAACTACTTTTTATTTGTTCATTATTAATATTATTATAATCCTTGACTAGTTGAGCTGTGATTTGAGCTGTGATCCTATTTAGGAAAAGAAGGAAAAAAACCTCATGTTCTTAAAGCTTAGTAAAGGTGCTAAAATATCCGCAAAATAGCCCCGAATCTTTAAGGTTTTTCTCACTTTGATCTTTAATCCTTTAAATTTCTAGCAAATAAATTTATTAACATAGAGATAATTGTCATTAATTATTGTGGAAAAAAAAATGGATTTTGCTAATCGTCAGGTTAGATTTATGTTAATGCAAATCAGAAATACTCTCATAGCTTTATGTTAGATATTTAATTTCAATTTCTTCATGAAATAATTATTTAAAATTTCATATAAATTTTAAATTACAAATCCAATTTTTTTTTACCCTAAAGTATTTGATAAAATTTGAGAAAATAATTGTTATAAACAAATTATATTAAACAAAATGTTTTTCCAGTTTAAATATTGAAAAATGTAAGAAAAAATAAACTCTATCAATTAAATGAGAGGGTAAAGCTAAGTAATTAAAAATTAAAAAAAAAAAAGAGAAAGAGAGTAAATATTAGAAGTTTTAAAAGTTTGTTGTTAGCAAATGTGTCAGATATTTGGAAACTAATTCCAAAAGCTACTGATAAATGATAATGCAAATCAGCATAATTGAAAAAAATAATTTTACTTAGATTAAAGAATAATACTTACCTGGTCATTAGATTGGAATCTCTGATAAATTACAGGATTAAGTCTCAAGCTCAGCAGTAACTGATACTTATTTCTACGTAGGGTACTTATCTCTAACTCGTGAGTTTGAGTCCTCACCCCACTCGTAAGAAATATTATTCTTAATTTATAAAACAGTTAATACTTTATTATAGTCCCGTTTTGGAAAGATTTCAAATCAATACCTAACGGGACCTTTAAAAAAAAAATACCAAACGAGGGCTAAACGTCAAATCTCACCCGAAGTTCCATTCGGCCGCAACAAATGGACCAATGCGCAAAATCACATACAATCCGGCCTGCTGAACAATCTTCACGAACTTTACCAGATCAAACCGCCCGCCAAAATAATACTAAAGAATCAGAAAAGAGAAAAAAAAATTCAGTGAGAAAAAACAACAAACAGTTAGTAAGAGATGAGAAAACATTTGTTTATAGAATCTGCTCACATGATCGGGGGCAAGTTCATGCCCATTCCAGAAGACATAAGTCTCAATGGCATCGACTCCTCCTTCCTTGGCCTTCTGAACCAGACCAGGCCACATCTAAACAATCCAGGGGAAAAAAATTAAGGCGTAAGAGCTCGATAATCTCCTAGTACATTCTAACCAGACGCAACGAGGAAAACAAAAAGTAGAATCCAACAAATCGAAAAAAAAAAAAAAAAAATCCGTCTCACAATTTCCTAACACATTGCTAAGCAGACGCAACTAGAAACTTGGCGGAAGAAGAAGAACAACAACAACAACAACAACAGAAAGCCGAATCAATCAAACAGCAAGTGAAATGCGCAAGAAACAAGGCATAAAATTAGAAGATAGATAAAAAGAAAGAAAAGAAGCCAACACATTGCTAAGCATACTTGAAGAAAGAAGAATAACAGAGAATCGAATCAACAAAACAGCAGAGCAAATGATGAAGCAAAAGAACAAGCCGCTCATTCTAATCCAACACAATGAGGAACTAGTACCAGAAGAACAACAACAAAAAGTCGAATCGAACAAATCGAAGAAAAACAACAACAACAAAAACAAGAACAGAAAGTCGAATCAATGAAACAGCAAATGAAACGAGCAAAGAAACTCACTCCGGGGACGCTGCGAGGGTAGTGGATGGAGGCGGAGATGAGGAGCCTGCGGCGGCCGTCGATGAGGAGGGAGCGGCGGTCGTAGGTTACATTGGCGGAGAAACAGAGAGGGAAGAAGAAGGCGAGGAAGAGGAAGAAGAAGAAGAATGAGAGCCTCATGGCGATGGTGTGAAGAGAGAATGGCAGTGGGCGTTGGTGTATTTATGAGAGAAGGGGAAGGAAGGCAAAATCATGTGCTGCGGTGACGGTGGGGAGTGACACTGCACACTCCACCTGCCTTCTCTTCTCTGATAAATAATTACTGCCTAAGAAACACTATCACTTTTCCATTTTCAAATATCCAACCTGTTTTTCCGTTTCCCTTTTTGTCTTTTCTTTCCTTTTTTTTTTTCCTCCGGCATTAGTTTACCCGATTAAAAATATTTACATCTAACTAAAAGGTTGTGAGTTTGAATCCACCCAAAAATGAGAGGTTTCTCGTAAATTTAAACATTGTTTAACTAGTTGAGACGTTATTTACATCTTTAAAAGTTTGAGATTTGAGTCTATGGTGCTCCATTGTTGAACTTGAGAAGTAACTTATGGTGTTCGACAATAGAAATATTGATAGAATTTATCGAGAAATAATTTATGGATATTATATTAATTACTTTTGGCTTTGGTTTATTTTAGTTATCGTAATTTTTAGTTCATATTTACAAAGATTTTATATACAACGAAAACTCTTTAATACAATTTTATTACTACATTTCAAGAAATTTTGTAAATGAAGTGTCATGCTGAGATTGTGTTAAAAAAATGATAAAAATAAAAGTTAATGGACCAAAATAGTTACTCTTCAAAAGTAGGGATCAAAATGAATATTTTAAAAGTACTTCGAAAATGAACAATAATTAAAAGTACAAGGATCAAAATGAACGTTTTGAAAATAGATGAACTTTTTAAATAATATAAACAAAAAATCTCTAGAATGAAATATCAACTCATGTGTTATATCAATATAAAATCCACGAAGATATACCAGAATAATATTCAGGTGTTTATTATTGGTGAGTACTTTATTTTTTGAAACTATTTTTTATACAAAATGTGAGAATGGAGAATCAAACTTACAATCTCTTGGTTGGAGATATATGTTAATTACCGCTATACCTATTTTGGTTTTTTTTAACGTTGAGTACCATCTGACAACATTTTATATTTTGAAAAGCATAAAAATATATATTATTATACATATATCTTTCCTACTTGTAAAAAATTTAAGGGTAATCTACAAAAGATCAATGTTAATCACCGTAAATGTCTAAGTATTTTTCATATAAAAATGTAGATGAAAATATCAAATAGGTAAGATAGAAATTTAAGGACCGCCATTTGAATTCGGTTAAATCAAATTAATTCAGTGAATATTTATTTGCATATATATATTTTTTAAATCATTTTCGAATTACGTGATCCAAAATAAAAATAACATTATTTTTATGTTTTCAGTATTTTAAAATTTTGAATTTAAAACTTCAAAATGCATAATTATATTTTTAAAAATTTGATAAATATATTATTTCATGTTATAAACTCATTTCATTTCTATTAAAATTAAAAAATGTAAAGTATGATATATTATAAATTATATAATATTATAAAATAACAATTCTACAAAATTTATAATATAGATGTTAATAAATTAATTAATATTATTTTAGATCGAACTAAATATTTAATTGTAACTACCGTTAGTTTACAAATATATTATTAAACAATTTGAACAATTTTTTAAATTAAGGTTCAAGTTCTATATCTACTATCAAACACATATTCGAAAATATTGATAATATTAAATATAACTTGTTTTTTTATTGAAGCGTTTGTTTTAAATTGAGATTCAATTTCCAAATCTGCTATCAATACATATTTGAAAACGTTGAAAATATGAAATATAACTCTGTTTTTTTTTTGTTTTTTTTAAATCCATTGTTTTAAAATCGAGATTCAATTCTCAAATCTACTGTCTAACACATATTCAAGAACGTTGAAAATATGACATATAACCATGTTTTTTCTATTGAATCTCTTATTTTAAATCGAGATTCAATTTCCAAATCTGCTATCAAACACACATATTCGGAAACATTGAAATATGAAATACAAGCTAGTCTTTATAAACGTAAAACCCTTGACCTTTCTAGTCTTTAATCGAGGAGGGACCCTTAACAACTATACATGTTCCTTTCCGAGTACATATATCATGCCTAGACTCAATCTTGGGGATATACTTAACAACTATACATGTTCCTAGCAGCTAGTCTATAGTTAATAGCTTGGCATGACCCTCATCTTCACGCTCTCTCCTCTCGCACTCTCTCCACCAGAGGTACTATAGCACCCATAAGGCCATACAGAGTCTCCCATCTATTGGGAGCAAGCTGTACATGCACTAGGTTGACATCGTTCAACAACTCCTGAGCAAAGGCTGAAAGTGGAAGATGCACACCGAACTCGAACAGACATGTCCAGTAGGCGACTCCTCCAACTTCTCAACCTTCTCAGGGTACCTCATACCTATGCAAGAGGGTACGTCATACTTGGCTCTAATGAAGTCTATCCACCCTCTACCGAGCTTTGACGGACAATCATCATTTCTAAAGGTTTCTTCCCAACCTCCGGGAAGAAGAGCTGAAATCTAAACTAGAATAGCTCCCCAAGCTCTCCTACCATTACCAGCTCTAGATATTTCTACGAAAGTGGCTAAAAGAAATAAAAAGCTAAATGAGAAAGATCGACTTCTAAGGGGGAACGCTTGGTAGCTTAGCTCGACTTGAGAGGAAAACTTTTTGAAAACGTGAGAAATGAAGACCTAAGAGGGTGCCTTATATATATGATCCAAGATTCAATCTCAGCTGTACTCCACATATCATCCAACGTGCGGCCCAAATCACGCCTTAGATCGACGGTTCACTACTTAAGTGCATCGACCTTATCAAAGCGATGTTCCAACTTCCGTCATAATGGCTGGATCTGCAACTCAGCTTGATGTGTCGTAGCTCAACTGTATTAGAATTCAACTCCATCGGTATCCTCTACTAGGTCGAAGCTCACCAGAGAGGCGTCCAATGTTAGACGGAAAAATACAGCATGATACGTGGACAAATCAACTCAGTTCGGTATTGTCAGATCCGTTCAACTAAGTTAACAAAGAAGATCAACCTATGCTCTCAAGATCGAGCTGGCGATCATAACTCAATCGGAGAATCACCCTTCTCTTCAACCAACTTGAGGACTCCGACCTCGTGCCTAACAACCGACCTGGGGGCCCGACAGCCATAACCTTGGGTCAGAGCGGTTCCAATGACCTTGTCCCGCCCCTCGCCCAGTAGTCTATAAAAAGGCACACTCTGCCACTCTGTTCAAGTATGCAATTTTATTCCGAGAACGTCTTATCGTAGCTCGCTTCTATTCTAACTTAAGCGTTAGAGTATTTTATCATTTAGGTCTTTCTTATTTAAGATTACATCTCACCAGCTCATCCAAATTATCTCATAGCCCACCTTCAATAGCTCGACATAATCCTACCTTAACAAATCTCTTATTTATAGATTTTTGTTTTTCCGTTGGAAACACATGGTGGATAAAAATATCAAACATATTTGATAAGAAATTATAATAGTTGGTCGAAACTTGGATAATAAAACCAAAAGACAAAAAAAATCTTGTATAGTGTGTGGGGCCAGAATGAAGCTGAGTATTTATGGCCAACAGCTGTTGATGTCATTTTGTGTAGGATCCGAAACTCTGACATATTTCACTGTCGCGCATTGTCGGTTCCTTACAAAATAAAAATATTATTAATTTACATATAGCGGTAAAATAAGATTGGATTGGATTGGATATTTCTATATTTTTTAAAACAAAATTCAGATCAAATCAAATTTTAGATCTCCCTTCTACATTTCTTTATTTTGGTTTATTTAATATCAATTTCTGTATATTCGAAAGTATTTTAGTTTGGTTTTTTTTTTCATTCATTTGAGTTCTTATATTCTTAAAATATTCGTTTTTTTCCTCTATAAAATGGTTTCTATTTACATAATTTTATCGTAAATTCTATACACAATAGAAAACTATGTACTATAAAGTTACGTTATGATTACATTTCAAGAAATTGAGTATAGTATCAATCACAATTCATGAGTTTCATCTCAAAATTAATTGTCAATGAGAGAAGTAGTTCATGTCAGGTCTTTTATCTTTTCAAGGTGAGATCCTTAATAGTATCGCGTTGAAATTATGATTAAAAAATAAGATAAAAAATGAATTGACCAAAACGGTTATCTTTTAAAAGTATAGAGACTAAAACGGATGTCGTGAAAGTATGAGACTAAAATGGACAAAAGCTAGAAATACAGATATCAAAATAGTATTTAAACTTATTTTAAAAATTTAGATGTGGTTTGAAAATTATTATTTTTAAAAATGATGAGCAGTTTTTAAGGGACAATTGCATGTGTAGAAATTTTGCCCAAAATAATAGCAAATATGTAACAAGCTAAAAAATTGTAAATATAGCACAATTTTTCAAACAAAACCTAGGTAAAAATATGTGAAAAGTCAAAATACTCCATCAACATATCTGAATACTGCAAGTCTATGAGATGAATACTGCACGTCTATGAGTGACATACGTGTATCAATAGTACAGGTTTATTATTGATGTGTTTTATCGGTGATACACATCTATTACTAATGAACCATATCAATGGGATGAAAATAGTAAGCCAATGATTATGTAACTTTTGTTTTCTATCAGTGTTCTTTTTACGTGCTTATTTAATATTCAATCTATCATTGATATATCATATTAATAAAGTTAAAATGTATTAGTGAAATCGTATATTAGTATATATATTTTGAATTCTTATTTAATACTCTGTTAATTATTGATATGCCACATCACAGTAGAATGAAAATGGTACATCATTGATGATGTAACTTTAGTTTTCTATCAATATTCTTTTTGCATATTTATTTAACATTTGGTACGTCATGAATATATACCATATCAATACAATGAAAATGAAAATTGTAGATTTGTGACTATATGTAGGTTTCATTTGAAGCATATTTATTTTATATTTGGTATATCATTTCATGATAACTTATATATCATTTTCATTTTATTGATGTGGTTATAATAGAATGAAAATGATATATCAGTTACTACGTAATTTTCATTTTTAATCGGTGATAAGCTATAACAGTGATAAACAATATCACTTATAGACTCGTGTCGATGATGTAGTCTATGAAAGATTGATAAACTTAAATGAGTGATATTAAGGGTAAAAAGATGATTACATCAAAATGTTCAAATAGATGCGCAAAATTTTTTAAACAAAACTTCCATATTTACAAAATCATAATTTTGTTGATTTATTTTCAAATAATTTCCATCCATTAAAATTTCTAATTTTTTAATGAGAAATTTTTATTTGACAGAGATCTGGGAAATCTTCAGAACCAAAAAAATATTTTTATTTCCTATTTTTAAATGAATGGTTTCCTGCACAATTATTGGTTACTGTTAAGTATGGTTTTGATTTAAAAAATACTATATAAAATAATCAAAAGAAAATAAATAATAAAAAGACATTTCCAAATAATTTAAAAAATTTAGAATTGGTGGTAAAATAGTTTAAAAACATATGCAAAGAGAGCTTCAGTTGTACAACCCATGTAAGGAAAGTATAAAAAATCAGGTTTTACCAAATGCCTCTGGGCCCCTTTATTTACCTGCAATGAATCCAAAATTTTGATTCCCCGTTTACTGAATTGTAGGAATGTAATCAAATGGTGGGACCACCTCAAACTTTATAATCTATTAGAGTGTAATCTCATTACACTCCTACAATTCCATCCATCCATTCTCATTCCTTATTCCGTGGATCCCACATATATAATATAATTAATGTACCACTTTTACCATTTCTTTCTCATCTATGGATTAGATCCATATAATTTTTAATTAGTTTTTTTTATACTTTTATAATTTATTCTCCAATTTTTATTTGTTGATGTGATTTTATTATATAATAGGATAAATTAATATTAATTAATATCAATAAATGTTTTAAATAGATATTATTACTTTTAAAAATTAGAATAATAAAACTTAATAATATGTTATATTAAAGTTTGGTTGTTATAATAAAAAATATTTTATTTGATGTCATTTTTTATTTTAATTATTCATTATGTATTAATATTAGGTAAATTTTTATAATAAAAAATATTTACTATCAATAGTATAGTAATAAATTAAATTAATTATTATTGTAATTTAAAAAAGATTAGCACAATAATATACTTGTAATTAGCTAAAAAGGAGAAAATGGTATATTAGCAATTGTCATATATCTGATTCTGGAATCAGTTTTAGTAAACAATATCAAAGGAATTTTGATTACGATTCAAGAAAATTTATAGTAAACATCAATGGAATAATATTACGATTCCGATTGATTTCATTACGATTGATTTTCATTATGATCGATTTCCATTACGATTGCGGATAGGTAAACGTGGCATAAATTTTAGAATAGATTTTAATGATGTTCTTCAACTTTTAAAAGTTTCATTTTTACCTCAAAATTATTTTAAAACAATCATTCTACTAAAACTTTCATTAAAATAAGATGAAAATGTGAAGTGCTAGCGATTTGTGAACTTTGAGGTAGACTTCAACTACGTCTCAATCATTTGAAAATTTTCATCTTAATCCTTAACCTTTGAAATTGTTTCAAAACAACCAAACTCTATTAGCTTCTCCATCAAAATGAAGATGAAAGTGTGGTGTGGTGGCAAACTGTATAAAAAATCAAAGAGTTTTTTAGTCCCAGTCGAAATTGTAGCCCTAAGAAGCAACCCCATTGGCAAGGGCATGAGRCCTTTTGTGGTTTCATCAATTATGAGATCTTGTGTTCGAACCTTTAGGTGAGTTTAATACTAAAACTCTTGATGCCTCCCAGATTCGAGCCTTGAAGCGAGTACGAGTGCACCGGTTATAGAGATAAAATACTAAAGAGCTATTGATTCTAGGTTATAAAAAAAAGGCGAGAGAAAAATCAAAATCGTGTGCTGTTTAATTTGAGGGAACAAATTTGGGATTAAGGTGAAATATTGTTTTCCTCCTCTCACCATCAAAATATTTGGGGAAGAAAATTTTTAAGGGGTAAGTAAAGGACAAACAAAATTTGGAGTATCTATCTCACAAATAATGGAAATTAGGATTAGGACATGAAAGGAGAAGAGAAATGGACAAATAAAGAAACCAAGAAAAAATTGAACTTAGAACCATTTCGACTATCTTCCTTTGAAGATAGTCGAAACATTAATTCTTGTCTTATGGTTTTTCCAATATTTCTTTTCACAATTCATGAGGATTAATTTTACTAGTGTTTTTTTCTCACAATGTGTGGCTTTTTCCTACCATTTCGATTAAAACTCCAACTCCCAAATCTACTTCCCCTTTAATCGACACTAGTATCATCTTCATTTAACCTTTATTTTTATAACTCATCTTCATTTTAATGGATAAGCTAACGAAATGGTAACAAAAATCTATTGGTTAAGAGTTAAAATAAATGATACTTGAAAACGACAAGGGAATATTTAAAATCTACCCCAACGTTTAGGGGGCATAGTTGAAGTCTACCACCTATATTCACACGTACCATCATTTTCATAACTTGACTGAAATGTTGTTCTGAAATAGCTACCTCCCTACTTCAATGGAAAAGGGAGGAATCGTGTAAAGATAAGCTTCGAAAACTGGCAACCCGAGAGTGCAGTTAATTTGCTTATTCCAATGAACAAAGAAACTTCATAGGTGGGCCCAACAATCAAAGTTAATGGTAAAAATGAAACTTTTGAAAATCCGAAGCATATGAAACATGCCCTAAAGTTTATACACATTTTGTACTGCTCGTTCCTTTGACTACTCTTGGATATTTAAGCTAAATATATCAAACATGCCCTAATCGTTTAGATCTCAAACTTATCCTCATATTGAAAATTCTGACATTGTTAAAAAGAAACATTGCCACATAGTTAAAATGAGACTCATAAATTGTGTTGTTTTCATCATAAACCAATCCCCAACCCTCCMCTCTATGAAATATCAAAATCTCAAAAGACTGTCTCTGAACCACCCAATTATAAGTGTTATCAAAGGCGMAAATTTCAATTTCATTTAGAAAAATGTGTTCATTCTACGTTACAATGAGTCTCACAAAGACTATAAGTCTCTACCCAGCAACATCCTCACCAAAACTTGCTCTACCCAAGCCGTTCAACTCCAACTGGACCGACCCTCGATTAAGACTGCATTACTATTCTCGGAATGCAAAATTGGCATGGATCACGAATATTAAGTACACTTAAGCTAAAAAGAACTTGGTCTCTACACTTTCAAGACTCCATGCACTACGTTGGCTGCAAATGGATGTTCAAGACAAAACTCAATTCTGACGGGCGATTTGGTTGCAAAAAGATTTCATTAATATCTCGGTATTGATTTTTTGTGAGATGTTCGGTCCAGTATCCAAAGCTCCTAGTGGCTAATAATTTTCCTTCAAAGACTTAGAACACTCCATTTTTTCCTTGGTATCCAAGTTTGTAGATCACTTTCCTTTATCCATCAGAGTAAACACATAGCAAACCTCCTTTGACTTTCAGATCCTCAAATCCTGCAAAAGCCTATTAATGTGAGTTCCACTCTCTTAGCTTTCTTTAGTGAACAGCTTCAAAATCTTACTGTCCAGTCACTCTCTATGAAGAACCGTTCTCTCGGAGAACACATGACGAGCTTTTGCCTGATCTAGTTAACTCAACCTCTTCTACTTCATTTAATTATTGTATCCCACAAAGACAATTCGTATAAYAGAATGAAAATTTATCTTGTGTCAGCATATAAACTCCTGTCTTGTCATACTCATATCGTACTCGAAATTCTTCCAGACAAGGCCCCCGCCCCTAACCGGGTTAGAAATCCTCGATTCAATCGAGGATAGGTAATGGCGAAGGCATCCCTGCCCTAGCCCTATTGCCATCGCTAGTCTACTTACATAATTGGATTAAAGTGCTATAAAAATTAAAGTTGGTACCCATGGGCACTCATTTCTTATTTGTAAAGTAACAAAATAATTATGAAAAACACTGTACAAGAGATACAAGCTAAAAGGAATGGAGACGAGAATTTCTTCATGGATAATTTTAAATTACAAGATGCTAATACCAAATTAGTAGTCAATCAAATGAAAGAGTACTAAAAATTGCTCTTATGAATCAATCCAAGTAGCTTACCATAATTGAGAAGCTGCCACCTTAAATCAAGAACTATCTTAAACATAACTACAAAAGTAAAAAAGGAGTTGTACATGGAACTAAGAAACAGAATACAAAATCTTAAGTCAATGAATGCAATCATGTATCACCTAGACACATTTATTTCAAAAATTATAATTAGCTTGTGAGTTCTATTTGTTCCATGTCTTTACTTTTGCTTGTTAGCTACAGTAACAGAAAACAGACCAGCATTTAGATGAAACCCTTCTCTCCTCTCATCGTCCCCTCTTTCCAATCTTCATTTTTCATGTTTTTATAGTTTCATTTGACCTAGTTTGCAAACGCTAAGAAATGTCCGAAAAATTCCTAAAGTTATGTCCTTGTATAATTTGGCAACCTGAGCATAACCATAGATAAAGGGCGGAAGTTATATATCACTTACAGGATGAATGATAGGCCAATAGTTTACTTCTTCACTAGGTTGAACAAATCAGCTATATGAACCATAGCTTGATCCGGCAAAGAGATGTGACAAGCTTCCGAAAGAGCTAAAATTGTGTTCAAGAATTAGAAGCTAGCTCAACTATTTTCTTGAAAGAACTATAATTTATTTCATATTCACGATTTCATAGGTAGCTTGCTGAGAGCTGTAACAATTCTCTCCTCTGTTATCATTCTGTGGTTTTCGTAGAAATCCAATATCTCAATTGAGATGTTTTTGACCTGTCATTAGTAAAAGAAATCTTAATTATAATCATTTCAAGGGGGTGAGTTTCTATGCAAGAATGACTATAGATCAGCAAGGAGATTAATGTTCTAATTGTGGGATTTTAATACTTGTCCTATGTCTAAAAACGTGGTGCATAATGCCTGTTTTCTGCATTGAAAGACACAGAAGAAGAGGAGGGAAAAAAACTGTTAGGAAGAAATACGCAAGCTTCATGATGGATAAAAATAGCATCAACATTCATAATTCAGTAAGCCAGTTTCTCTGATTGTCTACTGAAAATATAGTTCTGCCTTGAGAAAACTAATTCCATTCTGTTATTTATTTATTTTTTTTCTAATTCTGACATTGCCATACAACGTAACGTTTTTCTCCTTTATTAGTGGCTTTCATGGTAAGATTCCGATTTCCAACATTTTCAGCCAAAGTAAACCAAGTTCAAGATCTCAATTGGCTGTTCATTTCAAGATCTCCATACGAATCTTTAATTTAGATTGGGCTTCATGTGACCATTTGATGAGGTTTTCTCGCTTTCTTATGCTAAGGAACATATACCTATTTAATAGCCAAGAAACTAAACATACAATTCTGATAACACAGAGTCAATTGTAAGAAGACAGATAAATATGAAAACTTGGGGAGAAAATATACTCACCACATTCATATCAACATGAAGTTCTTCAAACCATGCAGTTGTGTCCTTCTCTCTCAGTACGCTAGCAATATATATGCAAGCCAAAGCTATCAAATAGGGTGGATGTACAAGAATTAGATCCATCTTGTAAGTGTCATTCACAAGTCCCCTACAAAATTCAAATGTCATCATTACATTTTCTTACAATTAACTAGGTCAAATAATATAAATGTCAAACTTTAAGGGCATCTCTGCAGAAGCCACGTACATGACAGCTGAAAAAAGATAAATTCCATGAATAAAAACAGGGCTGGTCGCATAAATAAACAGAACATGAAAATCCTTTGGATAATGATATCCCCAAACAGAGTGATATGACTATTGTTATAATAAAAGAGATACACTTTGATATACTGATTGTGAAAGAAAGTACAAGCTCTCAGACTATTTAAGAAGTCAGCCTCTCCCTTAATGGTATACTTGCTAAACACCCCACTCCTTGCATAGGTGAACTTAATAGGAGCTTTACTAATCCTATAAATACCTCCCACCCCGACTTTCACCTTGTCTTCAAGGTGAAAGAAGCACTGCTGGTTTATCAAGTCATATGGTTCCCAAGATGCTTCTTCTAGGGGCCGTTGGGGGTGATGACACGTGAGGGAAGTAATCTGACGCCTGAGAATCAAAAACCATGTATAGGGTTGTGCGATTCAGAAATCTGTGTCTAGAGTGCAGCTATGTAGGAATGAGCTTCAGAAGCGTAGGAGTGTGAAGTAAATGTTTATTGTGTAGATTTGGATTTGAGAATTAGTGGTATAGAAATTTAATCATTTTTCATTCCTTAGCAAGAAAATATTTAATCATGTACAGTTGAAATTAACATTACATTTGAAACCATTGTTAATTTTTTTTAATATCACATGTTGTAGACGTCTAGTCTATGACTGATGTGTGAATAAATGCCCTGATACAATGCACTGGTGGCTGATAGTACASTATTCTCATTAATATAAAATAAAGGTTCTACATGTATATAGAATCACATAAGCTAACAAAAATACTTAACAGGCTAAACAAATCATAATAGAACGAATGACCAATAATGCCGTCCTTGTACTTCACTACTTCTTATAATTTATTCTTTATACGTGTACATTCTTGTCCATGCAACATGCGTGCTTGAAATGAATGACTTAACCTTATTTATAATGGAAGGAAAAAAGTTCTGGTAAGTTACATACAAAAGAGTTCACGGATGTACAAGTTTTTATGCTCAAACTCTTTACCTACGAAATGAAATATGACGAGAAATAATGACTTAAATAAGGGGGGAAAAACATTTTACTGAATAGCGCATCTAGTAGATACCTGAAATGATTAATGATATTACCCTTACCAAGTTAATTGAGTCATGCTTATGTCATTCAGGCCTGCATCTTGGAGCAACCTGCCAGAAGTTTTTTTTTTGGGGGTGGGGGCGGATGTTATTTGAAATATAGATTAAAAAACATGTAAAAAGGGAAACTTAACAAAAAACACAATAAGGATTATTGATAAAAGTTTMCTTTTCAATAAACGTTAGCTCTTACATTATCGTTATAGCTTACTCTCATATTATCAATAATTAATTAGAATATTGATATAGTTTCCTTTTCTGGTTCTGGGTCTTTTTTCTATATAACAAGTCCTAGTTCTAGTTGTGTGAATAAAACATAATATTTTTATTCCTCTTAAAATTTTGTTTTATTAAAGCAGAAAAAACCTTAAAAACCTGTAGAAACCTATTATATYGCAGCCTTGGCAACGCTGCACTCTACTTCCAGTAAGTGTCTTTGCATTTGCATTCATTGTAGATCTGGTCTTACATAAAAAATTGGCTTCACACGTCTTTTGTCTGGCTTATTCATGGTCAGATCTGTTGTTGTTCTTCTTCTGCTGTTTGTTCAACATTGTAGTGGTCTATGTTTGTTCGACCTCGTAGTGGTTCAACTGACGAGGTCATGCGCCGCTATTCCTTTGCGCACCTCTGTTAGTTCTTTGTGCTAACTGCCAACCATCAATCGTCAATCACTGCCTACCTATGATTGTCAACAATGTCTTGTTTTATAGAAAAAGATGTTTGCAGTCTGTTCTTTGTCATTCGTATATGACCTTCATTTGTGTTTGTTTGCCATCCTCGTGGTTTGTTCATCATCACTGTTCATTTGTCATTTGATCAAGTCATCCAATCAGGTTCTTGGTGGGTGTGTTTGTGGTTCATCCAGTCATCATGGCCCTGTACTTTGTGCATTTGTTTGTTGTCTTCTAATCTCTATTTTATGTGTTGAGATTTGATTGCCCTTTTCAAGATCAGTTGCTTTTAATCTTTGTTCCAAATCTGTTGCTTTTGAGATCCATCTGTTTGTTAGTTTTAGGTCTATTTGTGCATTTGTTCCATAATTGGTCTTGTTTTCCAAGGTTACCCACCATCATCACGTTGGCCAAGGTCATATCAAACCATGTTTGAGACCGACAATAATAATGTCCATGATAGGCCTCTAGTTATTAATGTAATGTTTATCATAGAAAGAGGAGTATGGAGGGTAGGGAAGGAGATGTAGACATGTGAGTAAGAATGCGTCTCTTAAGAGTGGGTCCCATGTCAATAAGTGTCAAAGATATTTGAATATCTTAGGAATTAATTAGTTTCCTAGTCTTAATTAAGATACTACATGCAAAGATACTATCTGACAATTAACTGTAGAAGCAATCTGTGATTCTGTTCAAGCCTACTCTGAGGAATATTAACACCAAAGAAATATGGAAAGTTGTTCGTTTAGTATACTCAGATTTGGAGGATGCCTCACAAGTGTTCAAGTTAAGAAATAGCGAATTGAGACAACATGACCAAACAATAAAGAAGACTTAGTGAATTGGATTCATTCAATCAGATCAAATGGAAAGACTCAGATGATGCTGCCCTATTTTGGAAAATTTTAGCCAAAGATCRAGTCTATGATTTTTTGGCTGGTCTCAACAAAGATCTAGACGAGGTTCGTCATTTGTGGATGAATTTTAGGACTCAAACCCTAAAACCCTTGCTACCTTCCATTGTCCAAAGTATTTATTGAGGTTCGGCGAGAGGAAAGCCACAAACGTGTTATGTTAGCCATTGCATCATTGACAGTTCCACAAACGACAGAAAACTCGGCCCTAGTAGCTCAGATGCCAGAGGTCAAACCATTAAAAATTGGAAAACTCTAGTGTGACCATCGCCAGCACCTGTACTACACAAAGGACTCATAAAAGCCTAACTAACTAAAATGAAGACACCAAGAAAAAGTGTACTGTAGATCCCTTAAAAAAATATCAAAAGTGGAGGTTTTATCTTCAAATGTGCGACGATTTAGCACGATTCCTTTCCAACTAAATGGCCATTGGACAGCTTTAGCTGCATAATTCCAAAGAGCTCCGCTAGAACTTCCGATAGCCAACAGTCTATTTGCTTGGGAAAACAAACTGAGATGCCAAAAATATCCCTCAAGAAAGACCACCCTCGAGCATGAATGACACATCAGAAGTAGTGCCGTTCCCTAAAAGCCTAACTAAATAGTAATTACATTAAATTCCACCCCCCTACAGAATAAACTCGTCCTCGAGTTCAAGTCCTAGTTGAAATCCATTTGGAGCATGATATTCAAACAAATCTGTAACATTGAATGTTTGTGTGATCTTATGATCAGTAGGTAGGTCCACTAAGCATTATCTTCATATTTCTTCGAGCTTCTCTAGAGACCAATCTCCTCTTGTGTGAAGTTTATTATAAATTTCAACCTAGTCTAAACTTCCTCAAATGTACCATAACAAGGTCAGCTTCTTGAATGACTTTTACCTTCGATGATTATCTGCTTAAGCTCTCTACTCTGAATTTGATTTATCTAAATGTGCTAGAGTCAGTAGTTGTGGTGCAAATAAGCTAGCTGGACATGAAATGAAAAACAAAACAAAACAAAACATATGATGGAAATGAAAAGAACAAGAGTATTGGGATAAGTTAAGAAATTTGCTGTATGTGGGGTTGCAAACTTTGGATAATGATTATTTATCGGTCAACAGCCTCATTGTTGATTCAATCTGTTCTTTCAAGGGTGCTTGAGATTTTTGGGGCTTTGTTCCTTTTTGGGTTTTGATCAGGCAGGTTCCTTTGGCTCTTCTCGTGGGTAGTTAAGTCTGGATGATAAATTTCTCATTTTTCTACGTTATTTTCAGTACCTAGTTGAGCTTGTGCTTGGATGTTCTATTTTTGTTTCTTTTTCCAGTGTTTGAGAAATATTTCCTTTGGTTCTCAAGAGGGTTTGTTTTTCTCTATTTGTATTTTTCGATTTGTGCGTGTGCTCTATTTGTATTTTCCTGGACGACTTTTCACATTACCGATAAGAAGTTTTGTTTCCTTTTCAGAAAGATAAAAATATGCATGGCAATGTGAATCACTTACTGAGACAATGCACGATAAGGGTGGAATATCACCAAGTAATAGTCAAGAGCTTCTAAAATCTTCATTTCCATTTCCAGTATGTGTTTGATCTCGTACCTGTACTTTTCATCAGAATCTGTAAGACGAAAACCACAGTTATTAACTATGTCACATGCTACCAAGAGCATGTTATATTGAGGGAAAGCAAATAATTAAATTATAGTAAGTCAAAAGAGTAGATGATTACGTAATTTTTTAATGTAAAAGACTAGAAGTCTAGCTTGCACCGTGCTTTCTTCTGCTTTTGAAGCCAGATATAGGCAGGTTGGAGTCACTAATCGTGGATCATATTCTGTCATACTCTTTCTGAAAAAATCAGTTGCAACTCCATTAATGTACGTCATAACTAATTGACAGACACTAAAATTTATGGAATTCTATGTAAAACAAAAAGGCTACGGATTTAAGACAAATGGAAACGACAAGAAAAATAAAAATTGTCCATCCTTAAAATAAATTAATCAGAAGGTTGTGATGATGTAAACCAAAAGAGAGATATTATTACTTGATCCTATGCTTCTTTTACAGGCGAATACTAGTCTTTATACTAGTATTTGCCAACTTAAACCTAACTAACTAGCTAACAACCCAACAGCTAAACAGCTAGCTGATCTCGTCCAGTTTACTGCCTAAAGGGTATTTATATAGAACCCCAACTGGTTAAAATGGTAAACCATAGAGAATACTAAAGGTTTATCGATTTTACAATAATAACCCCTAAATCAAATTCCTCCAACCCTAGAACAACTCGCTTTTTAATTAATTTGATAAAGAGAAGTCATATGGGGCGTGGTATTCAATTTGCTACATTGAAGGTTGAGTTGATGTGCAGCATGTGTGGTAGCTCAATTTTGTAGGCATTTTCTCCAAATTTCTCCAGAACTTTCGTTTCTCAATGAAATAGTTTTGTTTCTTAATTCTTACCAAAGAAACAACAACAAAAAAAGGAAAACCTCCCCAGTACTGTGCAGCTGCAGTTGTTGAGCTAGAGTCAAAAGTTTCACTTTTGGTACTACTGCAAAATCTTAAGATTTACATATTCTGTTTGCTTCATTTTCACGATCCTTATCAAAAAAAAAAAGGCTTAAAAATAATGCTAAACAACAGATACGAGTCCATGACCAGTTGAGTTTTTCCCCATTCTGGGGTTAGATTTCTACTGTACCTGGTGTAAACGCGTCTCATATATGTAATGGCAGTTGCAACAACCCTGAAAAAATGATTGAACGTCAATGCAAATAACTTGTCAATGGAAATAATTTTATAAAATAAAATGCAGAATTCATAAAAGATCAAGGATATATCTGGTCCCTTAAAGAACACCTGAGCCAGGTGAATTTCCATCTGAATACGTGAACCAGTTTTCATGACAATTACTGCGTAAAAATGAGGGTGTGTTGTGCGAAAGATCCAAGGGACATGACTCAGAAGTTTACTAGGAAATACTTTAGAAATGATGTTGCAAACGCTGGATATACTTTCAGACAAAATGTGTTAAGACACTCCTAGCAACAATACTTCCTTTTCCTCTTTTTTTTTCCCTGATTATTATTATTATAAGAAATATTGCATTGAGCAATTGACAAGATAAAAATACAACCTACAACAGGAGAGAAAATCTCAAGGAATCAAATTAAATCAAGCAAAAGAAGATTATAGCAAAGCTTCCAACTGGTGCAAATCAAAAAGGAAGAGTAATTACGAAATTCATGACCAAGAAAATTCAATATAAAGACTAGGAAGAAAGTATTCTCTTTGATTTACCTGCACGTCTCAGGAAGAATTGATAAAATTTCAATTGCTTCTTCCACATTAGATTGTCCAGGATGCTGCTAACAGACCACTAACTCATAAGTCTTAATGCAAATTCCTCTGTTTCTTAGTGGGGGAAAAAATAACCCTTTCAGCAGGCAGCAATTTGAAGGTAAGAAAAGGAAGAAAGGAAAAAAGAGTTTTCCATATATCTGCGTATGACTCAAAGTGAGATATTAATATTATTAAATATCCAGGTGTACGGAACAGAGGGAGAATTCAAGAGGTCCTGTTACATTCAGCCAAGCACTCCTACAGTTGCCTTTCTCATGCCGCTCTTCACTCTCTTATTAAAGAAATGTAACTAATTCCCTAGATTCTCTAGATTGTCTCGTCCTCTTAACTAGTAACTACTACTCATATTCATTACATGATGACAATCCTACAGAACAGGTTGCGACCTAACAGTTTATCAGAAAAGGAACAATGAAATCCGTGGCTCTGATTCTTGGCACAGCTTATGCAACAGAGATCATATTTCATCCTTCTGAGGCCTTAGTGGTGCAGTGTGTGCAAGGACTTGAAAAGTTCGAATCATGATTTCTAGGATTGACACTTCACTGTGACAACAATTTTTTTAGAAGCTTTTGGTGTCCAAAACGGCTTGTAATTGTTCATGCAAGACTATGATAGAGGACTTATACTACCATCACCTTCGAGATTGAGGGAAGGCTATTTGACATGTTTTCTTTGTTGCCAAATGGATCATCTAGCTTCAGAGAAATAGGAGGGTCGTAGAGATGTGGAGTGCTCTTGGGAGGAAGTTTGGGCCTTGGCTAGGTTCAATGCTTTTGCCCTTTTTTTTGTGAAAAGAAACGAGAGAATAAAATATTCAACCGTTTACAAATCTACCTCCATAAAAATATTGTGAATATCCGATTGATAACAAACTTAACATTACCTTTATTGGATGCAAAGCAGATCAGGTGATGACAATGAGCTTACAAGCTTCCTTTTTTCTATCCATTGAAACCAAGTTAAAGCTTCACCCATCATGCCCAGAGCAATGGCATCCATCCTCTTCAATTTTGCCTAGTGATTCACCTAAAAGTATCTCTCTACTTGGAAATCCCAAACATGAGGATCACCCTCGTTGAATAGAGGAAATTCTAATTTCCTAAGCATTGATTAGTAGTACCTTTCCTCCTTAATTGACGCACTAATCCCTCTCACTCCACGACCTATCTGTGGACAAAGAAGCTTATTTCCCTCTGTCGAATTTCCACAAATTATTGGATCCATGTTGGTCCATTCCAATTCCTCTTGTCTTCTTAGCAGCTGGCTTACTACTTCTCCAAGAAGCACGATAATGTTCCTCCCCCTATTGAGGAAATATTTTGATCTTCTTCCACTATTAGTCACACTTGCATCTCCATAGATTCCATTTGATTCTCCATCTTCTCTTTAGTCATATTCAAGATAGAGCTCAAATACCAATTCATTGAGCAATTGTTCGTACACTAACTTGGAAGTACGTACTATTATTCAAAGGAATGGAAAATACAAGCTTTGTAGGCTTTTAAGAAGTTTGGAATTGGATCTCCCACAATGATGCCATCTAGCATCCAGGGGAGTAATCCCCAAGAACGCTTAACCAAAAGTCTTTATTTTTTTGATAATCAAGAATCAGAGCTTTGCTACCCTATACCCAAGAAAACCCGTGCCGGCCCTAAAGCCCGGACCCGGGAGACATCAAGGGTTTTTGGTATTAAGATGGAAAAAAGGGGGAGGAAAACCTAAACCCATACAAAGATTCTATCTCTGATATAAATAATAATAAAAAAAACATGGTCAATAATACTAGAATTATAAAAGGAAACCATCACCAAGTCCATAGAATCAAAAATCAATAATTGAGCATGAATTCATGCATTTAGAAGCAACAATCTTCATGCAAACAAAGATGCAATCTTGATCACATTATGGAAAAGAATTATGTAATAAAATAAAACAACCACATCATGGCTACCTTTGTCTAACTTTCACACTCTGGGCCAACTTCAATATATCTGAAAGAAAAGGAAAACAAGGATCAAAGAACAAAGAAGCCTCCTTTTTTTAAACGAAACTAATTTTTTTCTTTTAAAAAATGTAATATACAAGGCTAGAGCCTATCAAACGCCAAAAAAACAAAGTACAACAAATTGTTAAAAAAGATAAATATAAATACTCTCCAATTGGAAATAATTAAAGAGGATAACTGCAAACCTCTTTGGTACTTGCGGTCCAAAGAGAAGCTGAAAATAATTAAATCCCAAACTTTCATCAACAAATTCTACTCCTCCCGGAAAATACTCTTGTTTCTTTTTAACCAAACATACCAAAAGATAGCTAGCATTATCTTAAACTACAAAAGCCTATAATATTGTTGATTGGAATTGTTTGCCAAGTTGACAAGAAAGCCCCTTGGAACAAAATGAAGATAATGGATCAGAGGATGCCTTTATTAATTTCTTTTCTTTGGACAACAATATATTTTATGAATGTGATGAAATATACAACAGAAAAGGAAGTAATATAAAAAAGCTCCCAAAGGTTGTTTAAACTATAGTGTGAGAAAAGAGAGAGAAAAAAATTACGGCAAAATAAAGCAGTTTTTTATTAGAAAACCTACTTTCATTGAGATCCAATGAAAGAATAAAGAAGGGTGTGCCACGAGCTTCTCTGACTTGATTTCCTCAAATTAGTTATCGAGAAGGGTTGGTGAAGCAAGTCGTGTAAATCATTCATGGAATACAAGTGGCCCGTGGGATTCCAGGAAAAGATCATCTAGTTGTTAAGGCAGTGGGATGTTATAAAAGCCCTCAGTTTGGTATTTCAAATCAGTGGAGATTGGTAGAGCAGTTCACATCCTTTAACGTTGGCAATGGCAAGCAAACTTTATTTTGTTATGCAATCTGGCAGGGTGATTCTTCCTTCAACAAGAGATTTCCTATTCTATTCAGTTTTCCGGATTTGTTTCAAGCAATATGAAAGTCTAAAAGTTCAAAAAAAAAAAATACTTTTAGTTGGCCCCCTTTTCTCTCCAAAGCTAATTTCATATGGGTCAATGCGATTAAAGCTATTATTTCTGAATTATGGTTAGATTGCATTTTGAGGATTTTTGAAGATAAGCTTTATCTTGGAGGGAAGATTGTTTTGGCCAAGCTTTGATTGATAATTATGCTTTTAGCGATATTTGTCTTGATTGGGATGCCTTCATATTCCCTTGTTAGTTTTATGTTTATTTTTCTACTTTCTTTCTCTCCTAATGGGAGATTGTATCCTTGAACTTCTTTTTGTTTCCTTTCATCAATCCATGAAAAGTTTGTTTCTAGTTAAAAAAGAATGAAAGAATAAAGGGCATAAAGAAACAACACAACAAAAGGATCAACCTAAACCCTAGACTATCTATACAAAAAATGGGTCCAATCCAAAAGGACATTGCCTAAAGGATAGTAACAGACACCCAAAGAGACGTGGAATCTAACAAGTAACAAGAGACCACACCTCCTCTCAAGTTCTCTCAAACCCCTCAAAAGTGCCCCAATCCTCTCTTTCCCAAACAATAGCAAAGAAATCACAAAGCCACACCAAGATAAAGCATGAATAAAGACCAACTTAGAGGATTTACCAAAAGAAAGAGATATGTTGTAAGTTGTTCCTTTATATCCACATGTTCCAAGAGAAATTTCTCACCATCCGGAGCCAAAGTCTCTTTTTCTTTTTTTGAAAAGATGGCCCACCAAACTAGAGAGGATCTCTCTTTTTTTTAACAAGATACGAACTTCTCATTGAAATAATGAAAACGAACAATAATATTCAAGGATACAAACTCTCTCTTGAGAGTGAAAGGAAGAAAACATAAAGCAAAAGACAAAAAACAAAAACCTTAACAAGATACAGTGAAAGCTTTCCAATTAAAACAAATCAAGCTAGGGGAGTACCTTCTAATTGAAATAATGAAAAGGAACAATAATGTTCAAGGATACAAACTCTCAAGAGAGTGAAAGGAAGAAAACATAAGCAAAAGACAAAAAACAAAAACCTTAACAAGATACAGTGAAAGCTTTCCAATTAAAACAAATCAAGCTAGGGGAGTACCTTCTAAAAGTAGATGATAAAGAACACCAATGAGAAGCTTTAAACTTAGCTAGATTGAAGCGCACTCCCGGAGGTTGTTTATTTCCTTCGAAAATTCGGAGGTTTCTTTCAAACCATAACTCATAGAGTATTGCTTTTATAGAATTAAGCCATAGAAGATTGGCTTTAGGACTTAAAATTAGCCCGAGGAGTAGTTGATGGTCATTCCCTGCCACTGTGTTTCCAAACACCCAAATCATATTGAACTCCTCAAAGAAAAGTTCCCAATAGTTCCGAGCATAAGGACAAAGGAAAAAGATGTGAACTGAACAATCCTCGTTGTCTTGGCAAAGAGGGCAGAATGAAGGCAACAGAGTATGACTAGAGAGCTTCCTTTAGAGGACATCAGTAGTGTTCACCTTTCCGTACAAGAGAATCCAAGTGAAGAAACTAACCTTCTTTGGACTCTTAGTCTTCAAAATAGCTTTAAATAGATCTGGCGGCATAGATAGATCTGAGAAAGGCTTGCGAATTGAGGCCACTGTGAACACTGTGAAACTACCTGATGGATCCAAGGACCATACCCTGTTGTCTGGGCTAGTATTGGGAGAATATAGGTTTAGGAGTGACAGAAGTGAGGTATATTCCTCAATCTCATCATCTGTCAGCGCCCAACGAGAAGGAACTTTCCAAGAAAAAGTATGTGCATCCCAAAATTCTACAACAGCACCAGAATGAGACAATGATAGACTATAAATTTTCGAAAATATGACCGAGAGCAGTCTGTCCTCTAGCCAAATGTGATTCCATAACATGGTGCTGGATCCGGATCCTAGTTTAAAAGCTGAAAAATGACTGTACTGCTTCCAATGTCGAGAGATATTAGTCCAAGGGCACCTGAGACAGCCATTTTTCTTCTCCCCTGTCGACCAGCCGAAATCAAACTCCCCATACAGACTTGCCACAACCTGACGCCAGAGAGCATTGGTTTCACTACCGAAATGCCACCCCCACTTGGCTAAAAGAGTACTGTTGATTTTTGAAAGATCGCCAACTCCCAGACCTCCCTCTTCCATAAGCTTGGACGAGATATTCCAAACTAAAGAGGGTCATTTTTAGGTGGCCATTTTAGCAATTGAAAAATACTATTGGAGTTTGGATAGAAGAAGAGAAAAAGGATGTAGAGAAAAAGAGAGAGAAAGATGAGGAAGAAGTAGCAAAATTAGAGCAAAAATAAGGGAGGAGAATTTTCATATTGATAGCAAGGGAGGTCGACCATTTAATTGACGATTACCGCATGTTCCAAAATCCATCAACAAAATTGCACAATGTGAGTAACTTCTATATTATTCTAAATGGAAAGGTTAGAGGGAAAATTTTGGGGTCGGCCTATGGGTGAGGTGATGGCATCCAAAGTACCAACTACGCAGACAATTCCAATAGGTGCTTTACTCATAGATCTATTGTTCAAGGAGTTAAAAGCAAATTCAGCATGGGGTAAAGTAATTTCCAACATTAAATTCTTTATCTCGTCTCTTGCTCTCAAAATGATAGGTGTTAGTGAGAGAATTACGAAGACTCCACCAGATACCTATCTAAGCCTTCATAATTCAGAAAAATGTAAAGAAGAGAATTCTGGTCACCTCTTTATCCASTACATTTCTTTTCTGTTTAGACCCAGGTGATCATATTGGGGGAACACCAACAAATCTCAATTTTTTCCAAGCTAATACCAACACAAGAGTTTAAGCAACTAATCTATTAATTTCACTCTTTATCCGCTCAATAGTTTTAGTTGGATACCTACTGACCTCCAAATACATACACATACAGACATTACAAAAAATTTAGTACCTATTTAATTTAAATTCAGAGACACACGAAAAAAAGAAACAAAGAAAATAGAATACGGCAACCAATACAAGATCAAAAAGAACAGAAGAAGACGCAAAAAGAGAAATTACAATTGGCCATATGCATCTTAATGAGCTTGAAGTCATCGAGAGTGATGCCCCTATCTTTATCGAGCGATTGCACCACATCGACCTCCTCTTGGTCCAGGAGTTGCTTGCTGCAAGTTTTACATCCGCACAAAGAAATTAAGAACGAGAAAAATTGAGACGAAATTCGCATAAAGAATGAATCGATTAAGCGCGAGGATGTTGTAGAACCGTACTAGTGCGATGAAGTCCAGAAATTAGCAGCCATAGTTGAACAAATTTTCCCAAGTTTTGGATTTTGGGCACCGGAATGAGTTCTATAGACGGTGTTGAGATGAATCCACCAACTTTCTGCAGCCAGCAATTGGGGTTTGTTTGCACGTGTATAGAAAACTATAATTTCATCATTTTTGTTTAATCAATAAAAAATTATACGTAAAATTTATACCTCTAAACTACGGTTGAGCATCGGTCTGTCGGGTTGGTTTTTTGCCGACCCTAACGTTGAAAATTAATAACATCGGTTTCCAAATTTGATAACGGATGATTTAGCTGCAAGAATTGGTGTCAATTGTCGGTTAGGTGCAAGAAAAATGATATAGAATTGGTGTCAATTTTATTTCGTTTTTCTCTTTTTTCCGTTTTGCAATGTCAAAAAAATAAAAATAATAAAAAAGAAAATTACACATTCTAAGTAAGTTTTAATTCTTATCGACAACATTGAAGAATTGAAGTTCGGACATTTTCCGATTGTCTTTTGGTAATTTATTATTACGTTGTATTTTAATTATTCTATTTGGGTAATTTTTTTTACCATCAGGACAATCTCCGGACGCAAATTCGTTAAAAATGCACAAAAATAAACTAGTTTCTAACACGTGACATATTTTTATTTTAAAATATAACTATTTTAAAGAATTCTAATCAAGCATTAAATTTTAGAACAAAAAAATGATAAAATTAGCTTTTTCGATTATAAAAGAACGCTATAATCGGTAAATATAGAAACGTCTTCATCTTCCATTCCAATACGATGYTGTATAATTGGTAAAYAATGCTTACTAAAGGTATCAATTGGGTATTTGATATACATCATCTAGCTTTTTGAAGACAAAATAATAGGATAGCCGATTTCGCTAAAGAAAAAAAAAAAGTTGCTGCTAATATTTTGTCTTTGTATTAATTGTTGTACTCCATACTGTACTCTTTCCCCTTTCGTTTTCTATCATGCTTGAAGATGAAAGACTTGGTCAATTTAGTAGTGTCCACTATTATATTCTATCCCACTAAATATAGAAACTTTAGAAAAATAAAATGAAGAAAATAAAAAAAAATACACTAAGAATAGAAGGTACAAAAGTTTTGTGAAAAAAAGAAAAGAAAAGGTATAACTAGGAGGGGAAGATCATAAATCTATTCCAATTTCGTTATTAATTATAACAAAAATAAGCTAATAAATTTTAGAATTAATCTTTAGAATAAAATTTCCAAATTTTTTAATATTAATATTCTCATATTTCATTATTAATTTTAACTAAAAGTAAAATCATAAATATTTTAATTAATCTTTGAAATAAATTGACAAAAATTTTCATATTCAAACTTTTCACATTTTTGCCTGGTTAATTTTATGCATTGTAATTATTCATAATTTCAATTTACATTTATAGCATTATTTTTTTAAAATAATTTAACTATTTAAATTTTAAAACTTTTGAAATTTATCCTTTATTTATTATAATTAAAGAAAAGGTAATAAATTTTAAAGGTAAAATTAATAAAATATGGGAAAGTGTAAATGAATTTTTTATTTTTAAAAAGTGAGAGGGTGGTAATTTAGTTATAAAGGCAATATTGATGGTATTTATGTGGAAATGTGAAAGGGCGCAGGGAAAYAATAAGTGAGGTGATATTTTAATTATTTACATAAGTGAATATGATTTGGGTGCGTGGCTTATCACCACAAATATGCGTCCATATTTGAGATAAGAAGTCGTTGTGCAAAAAAATAATAATAATAAAATAAAATAGCAATAACAACAACAATTAATTCGACAGGAAAATTAGGAAAGCTTAGCAATAATTAGTAAATTTGGTGAAAAGAAGTGGGGATAAAGCGCAACCACTCTCTCCATGAATCAAGGAGATTGGCAACTATAAATCTTATTAGTTTCAACATGGTACTATCTAAAAATGTAGTTTCTGTCGTGATGATAATATATACCATGACAGATGAAGGTGAATCATGGAAAACTCTTTACCGAATCAATATAATGCCTTGCGGAAATTCCATACGACACATTTCTCAACTAACCCTCTCATGAATAATGAGGCTTTTCTCTTCACCTAAGATCTGCAATACTGAACAAATTGTTGAAGAAAGAAGATAAAATCTATGTCATGTATAAAACGAAGGGAAAATGAATCCTTTTTATAGTGGTATGTTGGAGGAGTTGTAAAAACTTTTGGTATTACTAATTCTTTTTAAATTCCATGAAGTATATAAATGAAGGTAAAACTATCCATATTCTACCCTTTTTAAACTTCCTTCATTTATCAATAATTATAAGCGCAATTAATTTTTATTTATAAATTAAATTTTCCAACAATTCTAGAAAAAGTTAAAAAAAACAAAATTAATTTAATTTTGATGTAAATGTGTGGGTAGTGCTTATATACATTTTTTTAGTTATTTAACTATTGGAATTGTAAAACCTTCAAAATTGCATCATAAATAGACACTTTTATTTTATATTCAACTTTTCATATTCTAACTCTACAACATTCTTATTATTCTTCAATTTTATGATTTATGGATGCATTTTATTTTTATACTATTATTTTTAGAAATGATTTAATTATTAAAATTCTAAAACTTTTATACTACTACTATTTTTATATTAACTTTACCCCTTATTTAAAAGAAATATTGCTTAGTAACTTATTAACAATTAATTAAATAAGATGATACTTTAGAACTTAAATACTTTATTTATTAATGAATAACTAATTGTTAATTACATGCCCTATAAAATTCAAATAATTATATTCTAAATAAATGGATAAAAAATTTATAAGTTTCAGACAAAAATTGAAAAGATAGGAAAGAAAAAATAAAAAAGAAGGAAGACAAATAATTAAAAAGAGAGGATACTTAATGTTTAAACTCTAAAATTTAAAAGCTATAGACAAAAAAAGAAAAAAAAAGGAGGAAGGAAAAAAAAAAGAAAACAAAAAATTAGAAAGAAGAAATTTGAATGAGAGAGAAATGAGTAGGAGAGAAGGGAGAGATATACGTACAAGGAGGTGGGAGAGAGACATAAATTTATAGAAGGATAGTTTGGGCATCATAAAATATCGTCTAGTAAATGCTTCTTTCACATTCGTACTTTTATATATACTAATGCGCTACCACGTTGCACGAAGTATGCTTAACTTAATTAATTTTATAATAAAAAATCACTAATGATAAAAAAAATAATAAACAAAGAAAAAAATTAAAATGAGTATCTATATAAACTTCATAATAAATAAGCATRTATATATACATTGTTTTCTACGAAGGATTTGACTTAGTATTTTGTCTGTTTTTAATTTCAAGTTTTTTATGAATTTTAAAGTTATCACTTAATTTCTATATCAAGGCTCAATCCAACTAAATTCATAGTATCTACCGATTTCACCATGTCCCTTATTTTAATGTTAGTATATTATTATTGCAAGATAAACATACCTAGCTTCAAAATCAAATTGTAACATCTATATTCCTTTGCACACACCATCGTAAATTGCTTTTGAGTTTATGGATACTGGAAAAATGAAGGAAATGAGAGAGAATAAAAATAGACAAAATAGAACCGGGATCATATTGTGAGTAGAGTAATGGGAACGAACTATTTTTCATAATAAGAGAATAAAATAGTAACAAAAAATAAAATAAAATCCCAACTATACACTCATCTGTTAGGTATATTACCAACTTCATAAAATTGTAAAACGGTAACGTTGCAAGCCTGATATTCGAGATATATAGATTTGGCACGTGCATCCTTTGCAACTTACATCTTGAGATGCTTTAGAGATTGAATAGTCTTTTAGAGATGTTTTGATAAGGAAACTAAAAATAAAGTAGTGAAAAGTGTTCTGGAAAAAATAGTAGAATAAACCTATTTTTATAGTAGTAGAGAATAAAAAGTTACAAAAGTTTTTGAAATTCTTAAACTCTTCAAATTCTAGTATGAATTAAAATTAATTTTATGTTAGTAGGAAGTCTTTTGCATTCTAACCTTTTAAATCCTATACATTTATTAGTATTGATAATTAAAGAAAAAAAATTAATTTTATGTCGTAGGAAAACTTTTTACATTCTAACTTTTTGAATTCTATAAATTTATTTGTATTAATAATTAATAATTAATTTATACATAATATATTAATGACATAGTTTGTAAATTAGTAAATTTAATAAGGGACAAAAGTGTCCAAAAATATTTTTCCTACATTCTCCATTTTTAATATAGTATAGATATAGATTGTAAAACAGTAAGGTAGCAAGCCTAGCTTGGTATTGGAGATATATAGATTTGACACGTGTATCTTTTGCAACTTGATTAATATGTCATCAACGTCTTGAGATATTTTAGTGTTGTGGAAAAAATGGTGGAAGAAATCCTATTTTTATAGTAGCAGAGAATAAAAAGTTACAAAAGCTTTTGAAATTCTAAAACTCTTCAAATTATAGTATGAATTATAATTAAAGAAAAAATTAATTTTATTTGGTAGAAAATTCATTGGAACCCTTAAATCCTATAAGTATCGATAATTAAAGAAAAAAATTAATTTTATGTTGCATTCTTAACTTTTTAAATTCCATAAATTTATTAGTATTTAAAATGATTTAACTTTTAACTCATTCAGGCAAAATATTATTAAGTATTCTAAATTAAATTTAAATTTAATATGTTATTTTATTTTATTGGTGAAATGTTTTTTTTCTATTAAGTTAAAAAAATTAGATTAATTTAATGAAGGTTGAGTTTGATCTTTTAAAATAAAAAACTCTATCAAAGGAAGAATTTTGGTTAGGATTTACAAATATTTTTGAAATCTAAGTTTAAGAAAATATTAATAAATAGAACATCTTGTTTAGAAACATAAAACTAAAAATTGAGTTTTGATATCTAAAATTATTCTATATATATAACTTTAGCTAAATAGATTTTTAAATACTTCTAATTTATATTTATGTTATTGTTGGAGTTGTTCTTAAACTATTAGGATGTAGGTAAAATAAATGTAATGTCGTGTATTTTATTTTTGACATTTTTAATTGATAGTAGTTTTTAAAATTTTTAAATATGTAGAATATGTTGGTTAATAGATTTTCTC